ATCAGATCTGGAGACAAGATCTGTGGAGACCTCGGCAGAAACATTCAGAGCAGCTGGTTATGTCTGGACCCAGTCGCTGTGGAGACAAGTCCTGGGCAAAGAAAGGAAGAAACAACAACACACACACTCACACACACACTCACACACACCCTGATCCCAATCTCTTTCTGAGTCAAACGTGTGGAACTTTGTTCTTTCTAAACTCCAGTCCGGTCGTTGTCCTCACAGACTGACTGTCTTGGTCTCAGTCAGGTCGCTCTGGCACGACCTGGGGCCGCTGACCTGAGGTTGAGTCTCCACTAAAAGGTGCTTCAGGAAAAACAAAAATCAGACAACAAATACAGAAACCTCACTCCAGAACCGTGTGAGTCGGGGTTTGGATGAAGGTGATGTCCTTAAACGCACCATGAAGTTCTCAGCTCATCATCAGTTTTAATTCATGGTCCATTTTGGCTTTGAAGCATTATTATACAGCAACTAAACTGTTTTTTTTTAAGCTCTCGTGGGCCACACAAATTGACTCACCGGGCTGCATTTGGACCACAGGCCTTGAGTTTGACATGTGATTCCTTTTGGGCTTAATTGATTTTTGACAGCCCTAAAAAAGTCCAGGTTCCTGTTTTTATTTTTTCTTCCTCTTCTTCCCGTTCTCCCCGGGGACTCGTCATCAAATCTCTGTCCCTGTCGTTCTGAGTCAAAGCCAAGTGTGACCAAGAGGTCGTCAACTGTCACTGCAGGTCAACCAGAGGCCGCTCCCCGGGGCTCGGTAGCAGCTGTGGTGTCAGAGTTGACCCCGTGTGGAGTTCATGTGGCGTGGGAGGCCGGGACGGAGCGGCGGTTTCTGCGTCTCTGTCTGTCTGTCTGTCTGGGCCGGGCCGCACACATGTTTGGGCTCTGTGTGCAGCCCATGTTTCCTCGGCGTGACTCGTGCTTTTGTGTTAGACGGAGGTGAACCCTGTGGGCTGCACTGATTACATGTCGTGTGTGTCCTGCCGTCTCTCCCTCCGGGACGGCCTGCGATGCAACTCTGAAAAACCCAGAGGAGAGAGAGAGAGAGAGCGATGGGAATAGGAAGAGCGGCCAGAATTTCTCTCTTAATAAGAAACATACGCAGCGTTTCTTCAAGAGAAAAAAAAGAAGAAGAAGAAGAAAAAAAAACTCCTCTTCTTTGTTTCCTCCCTGCTTCCTTCTGCTCCGGCTTTTTTTAATTGGAGAAGATTCCAGCCTACAGCCTCCTGAGGTTTTTTTTTTTTTTTTTCCTCCTGTGGTAAATGCGGAGGCTCCTGCTGGATCACGCCGCCGCGGCTCAGCCGTGGCAGAAGCTCAGTCACTTTCAACGCAAGCTCACATCCTACCCCTCCCTGTTACCACAGCTGTGGCAGAGGCAGGCAAATTGTATCTGCCTTCATCTGAATCTATTTATAGTCAGTTTGTGTTCCTTTTTCTTTGATCCACTAGGGGGCTTTGGTTCCAAAATGTACTGTAATGTGTTGTCAGTAGTTTTGTAGTAGCACCGACCTACCACTAGTCATCTGGTGTTAATGAGTAAAACCAGTTCAGACCGGTCTCAGCAGCTGTGACCAGTTTCATCATCGTCTTTGTCCAGATTTTTATTTAACCCTAAAATATGATGCGTTTTTTTTTTTTTTTTTTTTTTTTTTTTAAATCAGAGCAAAAAAACGTCACGTTTTCAACCAAACTGGAACAGAAAGCTGTTCCCATGAGACTGGAGCTCATCAACAGGTTCAACGCCTCAGGCCATATTTGCTGCCAAACTGTGCAGCAAAAAGAACAAGACGATATAAAAACAATGATTTAATTAATGAAATAAAATTTAAAAAATACCAAACAGTCGTCAGATAATCTGTCTATTGTTTCAAATTTTTTTAAAATATTATTATTATTTTTATTATTATTATTTTAATTGTTAACATGTTGATTCTCCACGTGTTACTTGGTCAGAGTCAGTCTGACTCCGAGGACAGTGAAACCGTTTTCCTGGACTCCATTTTCCTCCTCTTCTTCTTCCACTTGTCTTTGTTTGCCTTTTAATTGCTCCGCGAGGCGCTTTTTTTTCCCCCCTCTCTCCCGAAGTACGACTGTGTTGCCAGGAAACGGGCTGAGAGGAAGAATTTGTTGGACTCCAGTAAATCTCAGGAGGAAAACGCAGACAAACACGGTTGAGTCTTCAACATCAGAGTTAAGTCCATTTAAGTTCCATTCATCACAGACGGGGGGCAGTCTCCCAGCGACTGCTGTTACTTTTTAATGTGGCACCTGAGGCCTCTGCTCTGTCAGCAGGTGGCGCTTTGTTGACAGGTTGCTGTGGGTCAGTGATGTCATCAGTTCTGTGTCTGTGTTTATGAAGTCATCGTCCATGTAAGGCCTGAGGGCTGGAGGATGAACGGGTGTTTGTCCTGTAGCCGTGTGTGTGTGTCAGTGTGTGTCAGTGTGTGTGTGTTCCCTCTGTAAACTTTAGAGTTCATGTCACTCGTCAAATCCCGGCGGACTGGTCTGTATATGCAGCACAGACCACAGTTGTTTGTCCCAGGACTGACGTCACTCTGAGATTCACTCCATTTTTTTTTTTTTTTTAACCTCTGCTGTCGTTCTCCCACAAACATCTGATCGTCTGATCCCGGGCAGATGTCAGCGCCGACCTGAGACCCCGGGCCCAGATGAAGCTCATATCCTGCCACAGACACAAACACAAAAATGTGCGCTGGTGGAAGCAGAGAGGAAGTACATTTACAAGAAAAAGAAAAAGACCTGCTCCGGGGCAGGCGTCTGGAATTCAGTCTGTCTGTTACAGTACCTGTTGTGGGTCTGGATCTGGTCTGGATCTGGTCTGGGTCACAGGTTCTGTCTGTATGGATCCAGCTGAACGATGGTCGTTGATGTTCTGGAATAGTTTTTGTTGTTGTTGAAATGTTTTTTTATCATTTTCTTCTCAATCCGAGGCAGGGTCTCAGCTGTCCCTGGGTGAGGGTGAGGGCGGGGGTGAGGACGGGGCTGAGGGTGGTGGGGTCGCAGCCCGGACAGTTCTCCAGTCCGTCATATAGATACAACAACCATTCACACTCATCATTCACACCTTCGTTTAGAGTGAATTCTCAGCCTGAGGAGGAACCTGGAGAACCCAGAGAGAGGATAGAACCTATGATGTTCTTGCTGATGTTCTACGAGAACCTTTGAACATTTAATTATATCATTATGTTTATATTCATTCCTACATTTTTTCCCTCGTTCCACATTATTTATATATATTTATATTTTTGTGACTTTTTTATCTGTGCTTGTAGAAATTGTCCAATGTGTGGCCTGGGGTCCAATCCTGGCACTCGGTCATGTTTTGAATTAATTACATGCAGTCTTAGGTCAAATGAAGTGACATTCAAACTTCAACACGTACATGTCACGCACTAAATACATGGACGAGATTATCTTTATCTCTTAATCTGCTCTTAATCTGTCAAAAATATTTGGGATTCTTTCTTCTTCTGCTGTGAAGTTCACACCTACAGACGATCATCAACAACAACGTCGTCACTGTCTTCAACCATAAAGTTTTTTATTTCATTTTGATCTGTTTTGAATTGTCGGTCGGGAAGATGTCTGAGATTCTTGGTCTTCACTCATTGGCTGATTCGTTCACCGCACTTCAGCTCCATAAACTGTGGTATGTGGTGTGTTACACAACACGACACGACACGACACAACACGACACACCATGAGCTTCTCTTAATCACTGGAGGAAATATTGGAAGTCAAACCAGAGTCGGGATTCTTCCCTGATTAATATCAACTCCAGATACGACTGACGTGAAACGTCTTTGAAGAAGAACACGTAGTTTGGAACCAGCTAAGCTAATCTTCAGTCAGGGACGTTAATTGCGTACGATATTCCTCAAAATTGAACAGTGTTTTGTAACAGATGCTTCTTTAAAATCTGCCTTTAGCCCAAATAGTGGCCCGCGGGGCGCATGCGGTCCAGATTTAACCTCAGAGCGGTCCAGTTCAAATAGTGGCCCGCGGGGCGCATGAGGTCCAGATTTAACCTCAGAGCGGTCCAGTCCAATCCGTCGTCCAGTCCAGTCCGTCGTCCAGTCCAGTCCAGTTAAGAGATATTCTCCATGTATTACTTGTAACACAGAAATAATAACGTAACAGTGACAAAAATCCTCAGTTTGCATAAAACGACAATTTTCTTTTTGCCGACGACTCCAGGCTTTAAGACACTCCAATTTTTGTCAGTTTTTCTGGAATTAACTCCTGTTTATTATCCACAGAAAATGATTTATGCTTTAATGTTTTTATTTTATTAATTTTCTTATTGTGGGAGGAGTCAGAACATCTGCACAGAACTCAAACAGGAACTCAGGTTTTATTGGTGTTTTTTCACAATTAAACCTTTTTGGTCTGGTGTGTGTTGACAGTATGGGGGGGGGGGGGCGGGGGGGGGGTGAAGTGCTATTGTTACACTATTATTTCACCTCTGACATCAAACTGGCTGGAACCTGCTCTGCTGCCTCATATTGTGTGTCTAACTTTAGCTGTTGTTGTTTTACGTGTTATTATTATGACATCCTGAAACAGCCGCCGCGGCTGTTGCTGTTTGCCAGTAACAACACCGTCGCACCAGTCTGCTCACCCCAGCGTTTCCTCCTCCACCAGTAAATTACATGGAGCCGCAGCCACAGCTCTTTGAATGAATCACATTTAAGGTAAAAATAACAAAACTGGCGGAGATAACGAAGCAGCGTTCCTGCCCCGTGATTATAATTAGACTCTGGTCAAAACGCAGCTCCTTTAAATCCCAGGAATTTCCCCTCGTACCGTTGTAATCACACAGGACTCAGTCCAACCAGGAGACGGCCCTTATTTATTTTCACAGCTCTGCTGGACCATTAATGCGCACCGGCGCATTCCGGCCACAGGGTGATTCACTCGTTGTGTTCCAGCGTGTCATTGCCTTTAATCACTTCCTGTTTGTCCCGCAGTTGCTGCGGCTGGTGACGCTGTCCGAAAAGCGCTGGAGAGCCCGGGCCCGCGAAGCCGATGGGCGGAGTGACGACGTGGAAGGGTTCCACAGCGGGGACTGTGACGACGAGGACGAGTGCACCGGGGTCTCCGGGCTGGGGCCCCCACCCAGACGCAAACGGTTACGGGTGTTTTCAGGTGGGTCGCACGCTCGCCGTCGTCTGACCGGCGTTCCTTTAACTTTGAAAACGTCTCCTTACTTTGATTTTCAGAGGTGTTTAAACAGAACAAAATACAATTAAACTTAAACTCCTAACTTTAACCTTTGACCTATAAGAAGCTAATGACCAGAGACCTGTAAACACACTAATCCAGTGTTTTCCAATCTTGGGGTCGCAACCCCATGTGGGGTCGCCTGGAATTCAAATGGGGTCATCCATGGTTTTTTTTTAAAAATACTGATAATCACAATCACGGTCATGATCACATGACAAATGCAGAAGTGACAGTTTCTTAAAAAATATTTATGATGCCAAAACTGGGGTCACAAGCTGCAAAAAAAAAGGTTGGGAACCACAGGTTTGATCACACAATAATCCAATCTACCAGGAATGAAAGACAATGAACCAGTCATGATCTACGTCTTGTTTAAAGCGATGCTAACAGGCTGATTTAGTGATGGTCTTTATGAGGCTGTAAAAGTCCAGGCCCGTGTCCATAACCACACTTGATCCTTGAGTTCAAGCCTGGAGTTTTTTTTTTTTTTCAAGGGACTAAAAACAAAGACTTTCTGTCTTTTCTGGTGTTGAACCGGAGGAAAATGTGAAGTGGAGCCGTGGACTTCTGTCCAACCTGATTCTTCTTCTTCTTCTTCTACGACCAAACCCAGTCAGTAGGTGGAGCAGGGAGGTGTTTACACCACTGCAGTACATGTTGACACCACCATGACACTATGCTGCGGGCGACGTGAGACTTCCTCAGGTAGCCGCTTCACCTCGACCTCTTAAACCTCTCCGTGTCAGTTGAGGCCGAAGGAACGACGAACAAATGAAGCCGCAAACAGTCGGGAGAAAAGAAACCAAACAGAATCAGGGGAGAGAAAACAGACGAGTGGGTTTGATCGCTGACACAAAGTCAGTGCAGCTGAGCAAACATCACACTGGGAGTTGTCCCGCTGCTGCTGCTGCTGCTGCTG